AAACCATCCGTTTGAGGGTGGTTAGCAGTGCTGAATGCCAATTTAGTTCCTAGCTGAGAGAATACTTCTTTAAAAAAAGCTGCAGTGAATCGTGGATCGCGATCGGAAACAATGGTTGAGCTCAGCCCGTGCAGACGAAACACGTTTTGAATGTACAGTTGAGCGCTGCCCTTAGCATCAATCTTCGAGTTTGTTGGAACGAGATGTACGCATTTCGTAAGTCGGTCCACAAAGGTGTAAATTGCGTCGAAGCCACGAGAAGTAAGGGGCAATCCAACAATAAAATCCATTGAGATATCCTGCCAAGGACTATTAGGTATTGGAAGTGACTGGAGAAGCCCTGTTCGTGGCTGACCTCCCTTCGTTCGCTGGCAGAGATCACAGGTTTTGACAAATCTCTTGATATCGAGACCCATTCGGGGCCAGTAGAAAAAACGTGCTAGGCGGAAGTACGTTCGATCACGACCCGGGTGGCCAGCCGTTGCACACTCATGGTGTTCTTGAATGAGCTTTAACCGGACACCGCACTGTGGTATGCACAACCGGTTATTGGGGGATGCCTTGAGGTACAAGCGATCAGTGGATTCGTCCCAATAATAGCGATCATGCAAATTATCTCGGAGAGAATGCTTCAATCTTTCTATGATGGGAGTTAGCTCTTTGTCTCTCTGGTAGGCATCTGATATTGTATTGGACACGTCATCATTCATTGCTAAAGCATACTCAATAGCATTCAAACGTGGTACTGCATTCTCCACGAGGTTACTCTCATGGAGATCTGGGCGACGCGAAAGGGGATCTGCAGGGTTCTCTCTGCCGGGTCTGTGACGGACTGTGTAGTTATAGTCAGCTAGGAATTCAACCCATCGCGCCTCTCTCTTTGTAATGCTTGGTTTTGTTTTCAGATAAACTACCGCCATGTTGTCTGTAATGACCTCAAAGTGTTGAAAGAGGTAGATGCGCCAGGTCTTTAGCGCAAACACTACGGCCAATGTTTCTCTTTCTGTAGCTGTATAATTCTGTTCCGCAGCAGACAATTTTCGGCTAGCATAAGCCACTGGATGCCAGGCATCTTCCTCTAGTTCTTGGAGAAGAACACATCCCAAGGCGAAATCGCTTGCATCTGTTACCACTCTGAATGGTCGGTTCACATCAGCCAGCCGCAATAGGGGCGCATTCAACAAGGCATGCTTTAGCGATTCAAAGGCATGTTGCCGAGAGCTGTTCCACTCGAATCGTGCATGTTTTCCCGTTATCTCCTCTAAGTTCTTAGAGAGCGATGAGTATTGATCTATGAATCGCCTAAAATAATTCGTAAATCCAAGAAATTGCCTCACCTCTGTGACGGAAGTCGGAGCGGGCCAGACCTTTACTGCGGCAATCTTGTCTGGGTCAGGGGCGATGTGCAGTCCATCGATGCAATGTCCCAGGAACCGCACACTCTCCACGCCAAATTCACATTTTGACCGTTTGCAAAATAACTGGTTGTCCCGGAGCACGCTCAATACCGACCGGACATGCTGCATATGCTCCGACCACGTTTTGCTGAAGATGAGTATGTCATCTAGGAACACGACTACGAACTCCCTCAGATATGGTTGAAGAATCGTATTCATCATGGATTGAAATGTTGCCGGTGCATTGGTGAGACCAAATCCCATGACCCTAAATTGGTAATGCCCAAAGGGAGTGTTAATCGCGGTTTTGGGCACGTCCTCAGCTTGAATGCGAATCTGATTATACCCTGATCGGAGGTCTAGTTTCGTGAAGTACCTAGCGCCCTGTACGGTATCGAATAAATCATCCACATTGGGCAAGCACGCCTTGTTCTTAACAGTTATCTTGTTTAGCTCCCTCCAATCGCAGACCATGCGTAACGAACCATCAGCTTTCTTGACAAAAAACACCGGTGCACCAAAGGGGGACTTACTTGGTTCTACGAAACCCTTTTTCAAGAGTTCTGTGAGCTGTTTCTTCAATTCCTCCATTTCTGGCCTGGGCAGGCGATAGGCAGGTCGCGATGGGGGTGATGAGCCTTCCTCCAGGCGGATTTCGTGGTCTACAGACCTCTCTGGTGGGAGTCTAGCTGGCAGATCATCCGGGAAAAGATCGTCATAGTCACGGAACATGGCCTTGAGATCTGGGTGCTCGTTCTGAGTGGATTTGTCGGGAGGTTCCTTGCCAATGCCGTCTTCTACGCTGACCCACGCCAGAACACCTTCGTCTCCACTCCTAAGGGCATGCCTAGCCTGACGACCAGATATGAACATCGCCTCCACAGGAGCGGTCGGTTCGCTTTGACTGGGCGACGCACAAGGCAAACCATTCGAGTTCAACCTGACTTCATTCGTCCGGAAGTTTATGTCTGGATTGTTACGCGTTAACCAAGGTTTCCCCAATATAGCGTCATAGCGATGAAGGGGGAACACCGTGAAGGTTTGGTTATCGCTGAAGTCGCCTACGATAACCTTCAATTCATGGGTCGTCTCCATGGGAAACGAGCTTGATGCTCCATCAGCCAGCGTGACATTCAGGTTTTCCGAGCCAATTTCGGTTGGCAGGTTAACTCTCCTGGCAAACTGTTCGGCAATGAAATCATGGGTCGAGCCCGAATCTATTAACATAAGCGCGCGACGACCGTTGATTTTGCCTTCTACACGCAGGAGCTCATGTTCCGTTTCCACATTGACGCTGGTAACCTGGGCCTCAATAGTTGGTGTAACATCTCGCTTGAAATTGGCTTCGGAGCATTCAGCATCATCGTCAACATCCTCCACAGCGAGGCTACTGAATCGGTTACGGGTAGAGACGGAGCACACACTACACGCAGGTGATGCCTTTTCTTGCTGCGTCAGTAATCGCATCGGCCTTACTGACGTCCACCGTTTGGGTGATCTCGATGCTGCGGGCAATTCTGGGCCATATGGCCTGGTCGACGACATGCGAAGCAGCCCCCCTGGGCTCGTAATGTCTCACGTTCCTCGGGGCTTAGTTTTGTTAGCTTTTTGCTACCTGATGGTGGTGCGAATCCCGGCGCGGTCGCCAGTGGTGGTCTGCGCTGAAATCGGCTGTCTGAGGCGACTGCTAGCGCTGACTGAACGGCGGCTGACAGTGTAGTGGGGTGTTCCTTCACTACCAAGGTCCGCATGTTACCGTGCAGGCCGTTGACAAATAGCAAGGCTCTGGAGAGTTCGTCAAGTTCCGGCACCTGTAAACTTAGCCGAGAAAACTCCGTTACGTACGATTCAATTGACCCACGCTGTTGGATAGAGAACATATCCAACCGCACTCTTTCCCCATCATAGTGCGGGCCATACACTCGCGCTAGGGCGCTTTTCAAAGAATGCCAATCCGAAAATTGCTCACCTGCTTCCAGGGAAGAAATTAGCCAAAGACGCGCATTCCCAGCGAGGTAGCTAGCCGCAAAGTTAACTTGGCTCTCCGGGTCACCTTGAGGTGAGCACTTCAAGGCTAACTCGACCGTAAATACCCATTCTTTGAACTCGGAAGGGTTGCCATGGAAAACATTCGGTTCTCTGGTAACGTGTTTGACGCTCGGGCTTGTCTGGGAGAGAGAACGCGATCGACACGGGGCTAGATCCGGAGGACTTGAGCTTGATGAAGCAGGTAATTGATGTCGTCCAACTGTAGCAGCCACGTTGTCCCGAGCGCGGCGGATCTCACGGAAAGCGGCGTATAGCAGAGCAGTAGCGGCCAGGAGCACAAGGCACGTTAAAGGGCAAACGATGATCTCAACCATCCTCAAGCTACCAGTGTAACAGTATAGACTTGATTGATTGGAGAATTCGTCGAATGATGTTCAAACCAGAGGTTATAAAGCAAAGAAAGGTGAGAACCGCAGGAGTGAGAATACTAGGAACACAAGGTGTTACCATAAGACAAGCAAGAAGTGTCAAGGTAAAACTATTACAGCAGTCGTGAGTCAGTCAAGTGTCAAGAAAATTCGGCGGAATAGCGCGAGCTCCGGTGTGGGGAGCAAACCTTTCTTACAAATCATCGCCGAAGTCGCAACCACTACTTCGTACTGTTGTGCCCAGCGCGGGCTTGCGACTAGTTGGTTTGGAGTTGACAGCGTTGCGAATGACCGAGGGTCCTCGACGTCTGTCTCACCGTCCAGGAGCGACACTGACTCACGCTGCTATCTGGTGTTCACGAGGTGTTTGTCGCACTGGAAGCGGAGCGTCTCTGTAAGTTTGTATCCCTGGTGATGTTTGCGCCTGGAGAGCACTATATAAGTGGTGCTCTTCAGGCACAATCTTCCTCAGCCTACTCAAGCTCAACTGATGAGGGGTGAATTCCCCGAAACACTGTGTATTGAGCAGGGAGTGGTGCTTTCTTGCAGGTTTGCCGAGTCGAAGGTTCGATGGACTTCTCGTGTGCTCTGGATGGCAGTCGTGAGTCAGTCAAGTGTCAAGAAAATTCCGCGGAATAGCGCGAGCTCCGGTGTGGGGAGCAAACCTTTCTTACAAATCATCGCCGAAGTCGCAACCACTACTTCGTATTATTATTATTATAGGCTTTTCCGCGTTGGCATCGCCAAGCAAGCTTGGCTAGCCTTCGCATAAGCTGCTCCATAATGATGAGACGAAACAATGAATGTATGTATACATGATCTAGGACAGAACCAAGGTTGAGGATATGTTTGAAGAAAGCTGCAAGTTGTGTTGAGGAACACAAAGTTGCAAACTCTACGAAAGTAAACTGCAAGAAATGTTTTGGGGTTGATCTCATGATTATTGTAGTCACAGGTTGTGTTAGTAGCATTCAAGGTTGGGTTTTCACAGGTATATTGTTTACATTCCTATTCTTTTACAGGATAATAACCTAACCCTAACCCTAACCCTGACCCTGACCCTGACCCTGACCCTGACCCTAACCGTAACCCTAACCCCGTCCTTGCAGGACGCGTGCTGAAGCGGGGTTCACTAGGCAGACAGTGCGACTTAGCTAGTATAGTACTAGTACTATACTATGCACAGGTACATGACATGTACAGGCAGTGCATACTCGATAACAGCATAACGAGTAGCGATCATAGAGATAACGAGTATGTCCCGAGTAATCGGTGTAATCGTTTCATCCCTAGTTTTTAGTAATCGCAGAGCACGGAAATGGTTGAATACTGTGAAGAATATTGAAGATGCTAAAGAAGCGGCAAATATCAAGTATTTTATCCATGGCGCGATCCACATGCTACAGTCAAGTTAATATGCATGAAACATGCCAGCACTATCCGCCGAGGCCTAAGGTGAACTGTATTGAAGGCAATAACTATGGAAGAACAGTCATATATTGTGGTTGTGGTTGCTCTGCACCCGGTGGGAGTTCGTAAGCACGACTATCAGTGAGGGTACACTCTGCAATAGTAGCATCTTCATATGCTTCATTTTGTGTAGGCCTAGCTTGCTCTTTGATCTTAGGCTTAGTGAACCTCACTTTCTTCCGCGCCAACAAAATAATTACAACCACAAAAAAAGCAGCCAAAAATCCGAAGACTATCCCGCCACCAATTCCAAGAAGAAAAGTCAAAAGAGAGTAAGTAGGAGTAGTAGTGGAGTCCCATTGTGGAGTGGTTGAAACCCATTGTATATCTGCAAAACAGAGACAAACATGTACTAGTAATATGAAATGTTGTAGTGTATTCCAGGGATCAGTGTCGTCATTCAATACATTTTATACAGACATCAACATTGGAACGGTTTATTGATTCCAAAACGTTTTCTTGCGATAATCACCACTAAGGGGGATTTCCACTACGGTACTATGAAAGGCGTGGAAAGTCCAGGAGATAATGCCGTCATTATATTCGGCATTATTATTATTGTAGAAAAGAAAAGGACATAAGGATACGAGTTAAGAGTAACTCTCCATCACTGTAACTGGATACTATATACAGTAAGAAAGTGCAATAACTAGGCACACAACAGACAAGAACACTGAGACATTCGACGTATAAAGTGTCCAGTTACAGTGATGGAGAGTTACTCTTAACTCGCATCCTTAGGGGCCGTCCGGGGTTACCGATTATTTTTACAAAACGAAAAGTTTTAGTATTTTCAGCCCCCACCCACCCACCCACCTTTACTGCAGGTAAAACGAATTCCAATAAAAAAATTATGTCAATTCTCGACACCCAGAAGTAACTGGGCATTCTCCATCAGCATTCAATAATTATTTTCAAAACGAAACTCCATCAAACCCACCCACCCACAAACGAAAACATTTCGTTTTGAAAATATTATTGGTAACCTTGGACGGCCCCTTATGTCCTTTTCCTTTCTACATTTATTTATGGCTCAACATCCGAGTTTCAAAATTATTATTATTATTTAAATAGGCGTCGAGGCGACAATAGTTTTAGAATTGCGATCAACAGAACGAGCTGAACCGACATTTTCACAAAGGCTTTATTGTATTCAAAAAACGAGTGGATACGAAGGCAGTGAAGAACATGGAAGAAAGAAAAAATGTGATATGGAAGAAATGATGAACAAAAAATTGTACTTCGAACTAGTTTTCGCACAACACTCCTCAGGAAGCTACGTTGTACTAATGAAAAACAATCCAGAAAGATACTAATAAAGAGAAATGGAGTGAGAAGAAACAACACCTATGAAAATGATAATCCTAGCACTAAGGTAATAACAGGAAAAACTGCGAATGCACTTAACGAACTTGTAAGGACTACTAGTCTACTGTGACACAAGATAATATGACACCATGGCCAACCAGAACCAAACAGTGAGAACAAGTTGCTACTAAAACAATTTCAAACGAATAATGTTGTCCTTCTGGACACACAGATTAGGCTTATGAATACGTTGAGAAACGGCTTCTAACACACTCAACTGCAACTTATAACCAGAAAATGGGGTGTTATTAAAATATGTGTTGTGTACACCTGGGCTCGAGTCTCACTTTTTTTAGGGTGGGGTGTTATGCCCTGAACTAGATAATATTGCAACATGAGGTCATCATTTTTTTATTAGTGCTATCTCTTTTTTTTCAATTTTATATCAATCAGAACTGATAATTTTGCGGTATTTTGACCTGTATTTTCAATTTGTCGGATCGTTTTCATTTTCTCTGTTATCCGCACTTTAGATGGACAATACTGGCAGCCAAATTTCCGCCAGACAAGTCAAATCCATACCGTTACTCGTCATACGCTGAACACGTGGATGCTGGGAATGTGAGCGGCATCGTGATTCCAGCAAAACTGGAAGACATACCAGTCATCGAAAGACTGAACGACGGTCTTCACATCCACGTCTTTGGATATTTATTTATTTACATGTATTTCTGCACCTCGTGGCATGTCAAGACAGCCAATTGATTTGAGGAGAGGGTGAGACCAACCACGGTAGAAGAGAAAAAAGAAAATGAAGAGTACGTACACAAAGTGGGAAGGGATTAGCAACTTACAAAGCAATGGGATGCTCAGCGAGCTATGCAACGGAAGTGGGGACTGTGACTTTGTTTACTAGGAAATACTGAAGTGCTGTCTGACGAGGGTACGGAGATAAAGTCATATACCCATCTCGATCTTCTCATCAGCCGCAGAATGCCATCAATGTGTTGCCATTTCGAGACGAATCCAAGGCAGAAGATCCCCACCATTGAGTGTGGATAAAGTCCTTCAGTCGTCTTGTTGCTACAGGAGCGCGTCGTGTACATTCTATCTGCTTCGGATGCCTTTCGACTCACGTCACTGAGAAGGCATTGAACAACCATATGATGTACTGCAGAGAACATCCAGAAGCCACGGTGGAGATGCCATAGGCTGGAGATACAGTTAGGTTCAGGAATGTGAACAAGCAGCTTCAGGCTCCAGTGTTAAGTAAACATATAATCAGAATGAACACTGCGGTCTGTTTCCTGGACTGTGATTATTCTCCTTTCTTACGTTTTTCTCGGTGTTGTCTCTGGTGCTGCTATTGCTACTTCTCTATCAAATGATCAATGATGATCAGGTGATCTATGCAAATTGTGGTGCATTCATAGAACCTCTAGGGTTAGGTGTCAATCAAATCGGTCGTTCGACATTCCAAAGAATAAGCATGTAGCCTGCTTCTGTTCGTACATTGTAGAAGGATCTGATGTTGCCGTCACGAACCGTTTCTTCTACTGTGGAGAAGATCCTATGTTCTGTTTTCTGCTGGCACTGGAGTGAGAGGAGGAGAATATCGATGATGAGGTTCTAGCATGAAAATTTCATGCTAGAACCTTATTTGACCACCATTTAATGGTGTTCAAATGATCATTTCGGAAAGTCAGCAACGCGTACTTGAAACGGTAGTCTCCTGTTGGATCTATGGTGAAGCATTGGGTAGCGATCGTGTACATGACCACTGTCACTGTTTTTTTGTGCTCACGTTGATGTAGGTGCTGGTTGGACTTTTGGATGATTTGGTTGAAGGAAGAAGCTTGCTTGGCTGCTGAGTTGCTTTGTTGCTGTTTGGTCTGGAGCTGACTGGGGCTGCTGTTATATCTTCATGTTGGCTGAGTTGGCAGTGTCCTGCCATTGGATGAAGTCCTGGTCCAGGTCTGGTCTAATCCTTAGTGCTAGGGCTGGGTTGTGCATTTCGTCCAGCTGGATTACCTTCAACGCTACATCGCTGCATCACTCGCTGGATCTCGCGCTGGAGTGGAGTGCTCGCACCTCTGTTCACACTGGTGGTTTGTCTTGACCTTATTTTCGAGAATTGCTACGGCCGTGTCTGCAGTAATCTTGTGCAAGATGAGCCTGGGTGACGTTGTAGACTCAGCCATTCTCACTTTCAAGGAACTGCGAGGTTTAGCTCGGCGGCATAGCATTGATGACCTGGACAGTATGGCTCGCGTGGAGGTGGTTGGGAAACTTCTCGAGGCTGGTGTGGGTGTGTTCATCAGCTGCTGGAGTCGTTGAGCGCTTGGGTGAGATGATGCGGATCGTCGTTAGTATCAGTGACGAGCTGGCAGCGCTGAGAGACGACCAGGGGCGGGAGATCACGGCTGCAGAGGAGAAGGGTATCCCTTACTAGAGGTTGAAGCGATTGTGAAGCTGGAACTGGCAGTGTTGTATTGTATTGATTTAGTTCGAACACCAACAAAAATATAAAAAACTAGCACTTGCAGCTAGGTTAAAAGGATTCTCCAAAAGCAAATGGATGCTTATCACGGAAGTCTCTCACATAAATATCGCAAGAAAAATGGGGAAATGGGGGAGAGGAGAGTGGAAGATGAAGCATGGGAAGAACGGAAACAAGTACCTAAATATCGAGGTATATAAGCAGAAACGAAATCGACGAGGGAAGAAATCACCTCTGCAGATAATAGCGGGACATTTAGATGAAAAAACCCCAGCAAGGATTAATTTTAAGGAAAAAATTCTCAAACGGAAAAGTTCGGAATTCCAGTCAGAGAATATTTATGCTGTGAGTAATGAGCCTTTAGAGCAATGCGAAAATTGACAGAGGACTGAACGCAGCGGATGTGTTGTGCAAGTTTGTTCCATTCCACAGATAAACTGAAGAGAGGGGATTTAAGGAAATGGGCGCCAGAACGAGGTAAAACTATAGAGGACGGGTGACGACAACTAAGGGATACATTGAATTTGAAACGAATTAGGAAAGACGGAAACTGGTAAAAGACATGATGAAAATACAGCAAGGACAGAATCTGACGACGCCACTTCAGGGATGACCAGTCACAAGTACGATTAAGAATCTGCTTCGGGGTTTCCCACTCAGGAGGGTGCCGGGTCTTACAAAGCAGATATGAACGAGCAGCAACGGCTTGCAGTCGGTCTAACGTAAGCGAATCTGAATGGGATACGGCGAATGACCAGACAGGGACTGCGTATTCTAACAGTGGTCGTACGTAACACTTGTAGAGCAAATTCACGGTTGAAGCAGAAAGGAAATGGGCCATATGGCGCAACAGAAAAACACGACTGCGAAACTTATGGGTGATAGATTTTATATGGTCAGAAAAATTTAGTGAAGGAGTGATAGTCACGCCGAGATGACAGTGGCTATCACCTTTCTGAATAGGCACACCGTTCATTGTCAAGGGGATGACGGGCCGGGGGCTAATGCATATTTTCGAAAGGGTAGGTGGACGCATTTACTGGTGTTAAACGTCATGGCAGTGGCTGATGACCATTGACAACACTTGTCAATGTCAGTCTGGAGCAATGCATGATGGATAGGAAGTGAGGTGTTTGCTGGAGAAACAATAATTAAATTAGAGTCATCAGCAAAAAGGGATAGGGTACTAGAAGCAGGGGCATCAGGAAAGGAGTTGATGCACAGGTTAAAAAGAAGAGGGCCGAGATGGGAACCTTGGGGTACGCCAGCGGTGATGGGCAAAGGGTCAGAAAGAGTTTGGCCAATGCGAACGCAAATACTACGATCACTGATGAAGTCCTTCACCCAAGAACAGGCAGAAAGAGAACACCAACCTGAAACAGATTGAATAACTAAATGATGACTAACTCTGTCAAAGGCCTTAGAAAAATCAAGGAACAGCTGGTCACAAGAAGACTTAGAGTCAAATGCACGCGAAACAATTGAGGTAAGCTGTACCAATTGGTCAACTGTTGACCTCT